TACAACCCAGTGTGTCTGAAGATTTTAATTTTTTAATATTTTTATTGTTCAAAATATATATATATATATACATATATATATATATATATACACATATATATATATATATATATATATATATATATATATATATATATATATATGGGATGAAACATTGAATCTTGACAGGAAAATCTAATTAAATTTGTGGGCATTGTTCTTTTTTCAGATAAATTAAATTTTCAATATATAGTTAAGCATTTATCAAAAAAAAATATAAAAAAAAATGTTTGCCTTCTAAAAGCTACATTGAAATTCCACATTCCTCAAATTTATTATATTCATTTATTTCATTCTATTTTATATTTTTCTTAGGGTGATATATAAATATATATTATATATGCGCTTTTCTTTGTGCTTTTCAGTACAATCAAAAAATTTTTTTAAACTAAAAAATCGTTCTAGAAAATAGAAATTTTTTAAAAAGAATTAAAAGAAAGGTCGATAAAATTATGTTGATAAATTAAAAAAAATAATGTGACTTTTTATTTTTTTTTTAATTTTCAAATTTTCATCTAAAAGGAATGTAAACAAAATTTTTTTTTTAAATAAAGGAATTTACAGTAGAGAAGGTATTTACCGAAAACACGAAATGAAAAGTGCAGATGGAATGAACCCGTTAAAATCATTTTTTCAAAATGAATATAATGTCAAGTAATATAATTATATTCAGAATATGGAACACATATATATATATTATGTATGTATGTATGTATACAAAGCAGAATGCTTTTAATTGATGTGCGTGTATGTATATACAGTCCAATAAATAAATAGGACACCTTTCACGCTTTTTTAATTTAAAAAATTTTTTTCAAATGAAAATTATTTTATTTTATTTGAATTTTTATTATATTTTATTGAAATGTAAAACATGAATGAAATCTGTTAATCAAGATAAAAATTTATTCACCAAAGTTAAAACAAATTTGAACATTTTTTAAATTATATGAATATTTTGGTAAATTCTGATAAAGGTTGAAGTTATCTTAAAAAAAAAACCCATCCAAAGTATGATTTTTGAAATAAAATTTGAATTTGGATTTGATTGTTTTTATAAATTCTAAAATGTAAAGTTGAAATCTTCAGAAATCTGAAATCTGAATACAATTGATCAAATGTGAAAACTTGCAAAATCAAACAAAATCAGAAAATATTTTGATCGATTTTGCACAATGAGCAGGTCAGACCAAATTGACAGTTTTTGTTTTTTCAGATGAAACATTTATAAGATTTTCTAATAATAAATGGAAGATAATTTTTTCTTTGGCGACAATTGTAATCCAATTTTTTCTTTTGATGAAACAACCGTACAGCATTCATATACTATAAATTCAGAACTGTGAAAATCAAAAATCAAATTCTTTGCAGTGGTTCATTATTACTGCTATAATTGAAATAACGGAAACGTTTCAAAATTTTTTGAAATAAAGGACTTGAGTGTTTGACATTTGAATGCATTGACAAGCGAGGGCATAAAGTACTCTTCTGGGTAAATGCATTTTTCGTTATATTTTAATCTATTGATTAAAAAGACGTATATTAAAATAAGTTGATATACTAATTTTATTAAAATAAGTACGTACTAATATTTATAAAAAATAAGTACGTACTAATTTTACAAAATCTAATTAATTAATCCTTCTCAAATTTACTATTTTCTACTAAACAAATTTCTGCAACAGATATTTGCAGAAAAAAAATTGTTTTAATTTCTCTTTTCTCGGCATCCATTAAATTAGGTAATCGAACTTTTTCTGACTGAAAGATTTATTGTTTTAAAGGATTATTTTTTATTTTCTGAAACGGATTTTTTTTAGATTATTATTCTTATATATATAAATACAAATAAAATTTAACAATGGAATGAGAAAATTTAAAAAAATCATAAATTGTTTTTTTTAAAGTTTTTTTTCAGTAAGTTCGTGCAGATGAGCGACGAAAAAATAATTGAATTTCGAATAATATTCTAACAAAAAAACAACAACTAATACTAAAGGCAGATCATAAATTTTATTGCAGAAAATTAAAAAGTAGCACATTTTTTATAAAATAAAAATAATTTTTGAATTTTTACATCCTTGGTTTCATTATTTTTAAAACATATATACAAAAGGTAATCAAACAAATATCATATTTATATAAAACTCTAAAAAGAAATAGTTTCAAAAAAAGTTTAACTAAATCAATTTGACATATGTTTTGAAATTATCTTACAGAATCAAGACAAAAAGAATGCAATGATTTAAAAAAGATCTATCTATCTATCTATCTATCTATCTAGTTCTATCTATCTATCTATCTATCTATATATGGTAACTGTGTCATTTCAGTCACTATATCCAAGGGTTTTCAATAATGGTGAACATCCAGTACATGTCAGCTTTCAAATAATGAAATAATCAACGAAAAAGGAAAAGAAAACGTTGGTCAAACTATAATAAAAAAGTTTATATATAATGACAGGTTTTTTAAAAATTGAGCCACCGATATTTAGGGGTTTATAAATATATAATATATATATGGTCTATTATTAAAATTGGTCATTGGGTAGAAAAAATCATCTTTTTTAAAAAAAGGAAGATCGTTCACATTTTCCGGTTTCAAAATTGGTCGTTTCTACTCTTTGCCCAACAAACTAGGATGAAATTTACAGCAAATAATTATGGAATTTAATTTGGTTTGATGTCTCTGGGAATATCTATTGGTCATTTAAAATCAATCGATCAGAAAAAAAGATTGTTCTCAACTGACATGTCATATTTTTTTTTTTTAATTAATCATTTATATATAAACAATACAATATAAACCACTAAGACTCAAGATGTTCTTCAAGCGGAAGAATTTAAAAAGAACAGTAATAGAACAATTCTTTATCACAGAAGATAAGATTGCACAAAAAATTTATTTTGAAGATCAAAGTTGACTAAAAACAAGAATAATATAGATATTTCTATCAACGAGAAGTGCGAGAGAAGAAACTGATAGCATAGAACATTTTAAACATCAAACCATTTCATACTGTAAAATGAAAATGGCTTTGATAAAAATCTTGTAACTGCGCATTTAAATTGTAAAATCTTGGTACCAAAAGGAAAGCTCATGTAAAAACATTTATTTATGTCCATTTAAGATTTATTTTTGAATAACATGGATATTGTTGATATTAATTTTATATATGTATTTATATAAAGAAAATAACAAAGATGCATGGGTAAAGAGTCAAAAAAACAAATATTTTTATAAAAAAAAAAAGAAAGAAAAACTACAAAAATGAATCTTATTTAAAAATTAGTTGTCTATTTGAAACTATTTAAATAAATACTTTTATAAAAAATTACATTAATTTTCTATGTTTTTAAAATGTTTTATTTTATCTTTTTTTAGTAAATCAAAAAATGGGCAAAACGGATGAAAGATGTTGACAAATTCCTTTCATTATAGGAATTATGAATGATTCAAACTGATATTTATAAAAAATTACATTAATTATGTGTGAGAAATTATAAAAAACATATTGGACAAGGAGAGTTTAATATCTCTCCGTATATCACATTAGAATTGGATATCATTTGCGGTAAGATATTCAAAAATTATTAAATGGAAAATACAAACATAGTTAACATAAATCCACAATTTTCATTTCAGGTAAATAGGGAATTTTACTCTTTGTGACCCCTGTTAACTCTAAAACATATTGTCAGTGAATCTCTAAAACAGAATTAAATGGTATCTCAATTTTTGTAAAAATCATCCTTGATAATGGCATAAACAAAACCTTTTCCATGTGTTTAATTTAGAAATTTGGACTTCTTTAGAAAAAAAATGTGTCCACACACAAAAAACACATTGTTTGAACACAAGAAAATTTAAATATATATATATATATATATATTAAAACCTTGTCTGTATATTCAAACGTTTTTTGAAACAAATGTGATTGTTTTATGTGTGTGTATATATATATTATTGACAATTCTAGAAAAGAAAATTCGGATTGCCAAGAACAAACAGAATGTCTCATATCGAAAATATTCCACATTGAACATGAAAAAAAATTAAAAAAAAAAAAAAAATGTAAAAATCTTTTTTTTCACCTGAAGATTTTTTTTAACCAGATCAGAAACACGTGTCGTGAAATCACAATAAAACAAAGTATAATATTTTTTACTCAATAAATCCACATTACAACAAAAATTTTTTTGCACCCTCTTCTTTTAATAAAAAAGAAAATTTTTTTTTTTTAAATATATTTCTTTTATATATATATATATATATATGAAGAAATATAGTTTTAAAATTAATGTTTTATATTTATGGAATATCTTGCTCAATATCAAAGATACATTTGGATTTATAAATATAAAAGTGAACATTAGAAGTCAACACTTAGAGGCGACAGTCTGTTTCATGCTAGATGCAATCGTCAGGCCACGAGTGTTGTTTTTTTTTTGGCTATTTATATATATGGGTCAGTGGTGCATTGTGGGTAGTCTGTTTTTGGCGGTTATTTTATCAAAAGTCGTTTATTTTTTTTTATTTATTTTTGGTTAAATTATTTTGCTTGTTTTATTTCTTATTTATTTTTTTATTTTTTCATTTTTATTTTAATCTTATTTATTTATTAGTAAAAAATTGTTTATATCACTTATTTAATAGTTTTGTTTTGGGAAGATAATTAAAACTAAAAAAAAATTCATTCAATTTTGGGGTTGATTGCTGTAGTTTATTCTAACTATTATTTTGGCGGGAGCAGTTTTTAATTTGTTTATTACTTCATTTATTTATTTATATTTTTGGTGTGATGTGCATTTTGTTTTTAAGTATATCTGGGAAATTAAAAACAAAATGCACATGTTACAATAGACAAAATAGAATAAAAAATAAAATAAAATCAATGAACCCAAATAAATAAAGTAAATAATAAACAAATTAACAAACCATTATGACAAAAATGTTAGTTAGACTATAAAAATCAAACCAATAATCTGACGAAAAACATAGCTATAACTGTTATATAACGAGAAAAAACCAACACTTGTGGCCTGACGATACACACACAAGATAATGCAATTACCTTTTAAACAAGCAAATTGTAGTGCATTGATGGCTCCACGGACATCTCCATTACTTGACATGGCAAGAGATTTTAAAGTCATCTTGGATGGAACTGCAAAATTATAGGGTCCCTGAAAAAACATGAATCAAATAGCTGCACTCTATTCAGTTGTATTGAAATAAAAGAAAATATTAATTCTTGTTATTTCTTTTCTTATTTGTAAATAATAATCATACATTATGGTTCATTTCATAAAATAGAATTAAGGATAAAAAAGATCTTGTAAAAACGTTTGAATAGTTTTTTTTCTTTTTTAAATATTGATAAACTACATAAATACTTTTATTTCATAGCCCAAGAAAATTAAAATTTCTCTTTTTTTTTTTTTACTAATTGTTCACTTAAGGCCCAACAACCATTCAAGGTAAAGGCTTATTGAATAAGTTGTATGAACATAGGAAGAGGACATAAGTGCAGATTATGAAGCTATATAGGACAGGTAACAATTGAAGAGGTCAAGATTATAGCAATCAGGGAAGTTCCCACTTGAGAGTCTGTTCCGCAAAATATCAATTATATGGAAGAAGCTCTCTGAACAGAACTTCTTTCTTATCAATAGTATACAAATGGGAATAGGGATGATGCAATCCTGTCTATGTGGCATGACAGATCTTAGCTGTGATGGTATGAAGTAGTGAATGTAGCTTGTCAGAACATTTGCTGTAGAAATAACAACAGAGTAGTGAGAAGCTTGTAATATTTTGTCTATGGGAAAGGGTCTGTAGAGTGGACAATAATCCATCACCCAAGGTCATGTAAATGCTTTGAACTCTATCAAGACTGAAGAGTAAAGATTGGGCAGCAATACTCCATTTTTTGTTTGATCTGCCTCTTGCAAAGAAAATGGCAGAAGTCAGGGAAAATGACCGTTTTTCCATCATCTTTAGTGATGGATCTTATGTCTGGGGTGAACTTGAATTCCAATAGATGTTCAAAGCAAGGAGCCTCCTTGAGAGTACAATCATTTGTCATTATAGGCAAAAATTCAGGGTCTTCCCGATGATCATGACATGCTACTAGCTTAGTTTTGAAGGTATTAAATGTTACAAGCTAGTCCCCCCCCACACACACACCATTCAGCAGTTAGAGATAAGTCAGAGGTGAGATCAACTGCCAGTCTCTGGACATCTAGATTTTTGGAGGTGCACACATACACTGTTGTATCATCTCCATAGTTATCTACTCAGGAACTGAGTTATGTTCTTAGGCAGATCATTACTATAAAGCTGAAAGAGACGAGAGTTTTAGGGGATGCTTGCATTGATCTCATGAATTAAATTAAATTGAATTGAATTTGGCTTTCTAGTTTTCTACATGCCTAAACTACATTGGATTATTTGAAATCATTCCAACTTGCCTTCATAGATTCTTGAGTTGCAATTCGTGTAAGGACTTTGATGAGGATTGTCAGAGCAACAGGATTGAAACTATAAAAACACAAAGAGGTTGGCATTCTATATAAATTAAATTTCTCTCCAATTGTCATATAAACTTGTTGAATATACTTTCCACACCACTACCACTTGCTATCACTTGAAAGCCTCAACAAACACCCAAATTTTATTCATGCTACAAGTATCTCAAAATCAAAATTGGCAGGTAATCTATATAGAAATGAAAATAATAGGCAAACAAAATCAAAAACTGGTGATTATGTACACTTTTGCATAATGAATATCAGTAATATTGACAACATCTTTTAAAGTTTTACAGTAAGTTGTCACTGTCTCTCTTTCAAAACAACCAATTTCTCAGGTGTACATTAAGATAGTTCAAATTACCATTTAAATGTACGAGTGTTTATTGCATATGTAATATCATTATATTCTGAAACATGATTTCGTGAAAAAGATACTGATTTCCATTAATCAAATAATTACACTATTTTAGAATATGCTTTTCTTTAATACTCTTATTAAAAATGGAAATTCTACAGGGACTTTTTAACTTTAAAGTTCTTTTATTTCAAACAATTATTCTAGCATTTTGAAAATCATGAATATATATAAATAAAAATTTATTACTTTTGGTACTTGTTAATTGTTTTCATTACTGTTTTAGATGAGAACTGTCAATCAAAGATAGTGATGACAAAGTGTATCTCAAGACCAAGTTGAAGCAAGACTATCATTTAATAGACAAAGGTATCTGAATGTCTCACAAAAAAGGCTTGAAAAAATAAGAGTGCAGTTTAAGAAACATAGTTAAGGAACAGATTAATCAAAGGGTTAATTTTGCTTCAGAACTAATTTTGTCTAAATAAGATAAATATTTTATTTATATAGGTTATTAAAATGACTAAGAGAAGTCACTATTCATAAATTTATTACTTTGTTAATTTACTTCCTTTCCCACTATAGAGTGTGACATGAAAGAGACAGGGTGTTCAGATCATATTTTTTATATTTTGGATTTCACTCCAACATGGTTTTAACAACTGAAGGATGTGTATATCTCATCAAACACATATTTCAAGAAGGTGGTAGATACACAGATTTGGCGCGAGAGTGTTTTGCTGATAAATTTTCAGCTACACCAGTTCCACATTACAATGCAGTTTGTAACCTTGTTGATAAATTTTGGGAAACAGGATCAGTGGATGATGCCAAACATTGTGCAAGCAAAGCTATTAGAGGAGACAACTGTTGGATATTTCTGACAATATACAGCAGAGTTCAAGAAAATCATTACAAAAGTTAGCACAGAAGCAAGATATTAGTCTTGGAACTGCTCGTAATGCTGTCAGACTAAAATTAAAACTCTTCCCATACAAAATAATGGCAGTACAAAAACTGGAAGCAACTGATTATGAAAAGCGACTACTCTATTGCAGATGGTTTAAATGATTTATCAAAGAGAATACTGGTAATGTGTTGGATGTGACATTTTTTAGTGATGAGGCATGGTTCCATCTCTCATCTTATTCACATAAGATTGTGGTCTCCCAATAATCTTCACAGATTGCATGAAGCACCCCTACATAATCTCAAGGTTGGAGTGTGGGTTGTGATTTCCAGACATCGAATTGTTGACCCTATTTTCTTTATGATCATAATAAACAGCAAGCGCTATTTTTGGAGATTATTCATCGGACAGATGACAAGTGAGGAAATCAATTACTCATGATTTTAACAGAACGGTGCTACTGCCCACAAATCTCACAGATTTATGCAGTTTTTGGAGAAAATTTTTGCAAATTGCATTATTTCCAAAGACATGTGGCCCCCATGGTCACCAGATCTAGATCCACCAAAATTTTATCTAAGGGGAGCAGCAAAATCAATACTGTCCACACACAGACTGGATGACTTTAAAGCAGTGATAACAGTATTCATTCAGTCTATTTCAAGCAAGCAACTGATAGTGGTGTTCAGGAAGAAAATATGAAGATCCAAGCCTGTATTGATGCTAACAGACATGACACCCATTAGCATCAATACATTATTCATAATTTTCATATTCACCTCTTGTATTCTATACTGAAACATGTCTTAATAAAAATATAAGTGCATAGTGACTTTCGAACACCCTGTGTAAATAAATACACAACAGTAATTATTATATAGTAGAGCTCTATGTTCTACTATATAACATTTAATTTTAAAGAACAATCTTTAAAAAAGAAAATCTGAACATAGATGTAAAATTGTCAAGAACTTACCTTATATGCTCAATACTTAAATCATCCTGAAAATCTTTAGGGAAAAGCAGTTTTTCATTAGAATTTCCATGTGTTGAATCACTGATAATAAACACCAAAGGACTACTTCCTGTTGCCATATATTTTCTAAAATAGTTAAAAAGGATAATGGGTTAAAATTTAAATACATTTAAATAAGAATCCAATGGTGATTGAAAGTCAAACTAGAGAACAAGTATTTTTTGTTTTATAGTGATATAAACAAAGTACAAATTTTACAAGTTGTTATCTCCTAAATTCCCTAGTTATAACAAAATATCTTTCATCAGTAGCTACAGAAACTGAATTTCATATAATGATAATTGAATGAAACAAAGACAAACTTAAGATATTATAGATAGACCATTTCTTGAATTTCCTATCAAGTCTTCAGAAATGAATAGGGAAATATATATTTTGTGAAGGTGATAAAAGGCATAATGAAAATGATTTCTATTGGCTGTAATCCTGAATATAAAAGCAGTATTTTACAGGTATTGCTGTTTGCAATGACAACTATAAAGTAACATTGTTTCTGACAATTTATAAATATGATAATTCCTAGTTAAAAATATCATCAGTTTTTTTCCTTCTTTTGGAAGCAATAACATTTTGTACTTTTGTTTTCTAAGCATCTTCTGTTCTAATGTTGAATGCTTGGGAATATGCAAATGAAATATTTAAAAATAACATGTATAAAAAATAATATGAAACTAACCGTACAATTTCATGTAAAGTAGATGGGTTCCAGAAGAATATATTTGGGTAATCCTAAAAACAATGAAAACAAAAAGTTAAAAAGAAAAAGCAGTAATGGTGGCAGTAATTATAACAGCATAATAAATCTAAAAATCCTATTTTAGCCCCTTTATTTGTTTCTTGGGTTTATTTTTCTTTCATATATTTGTCATTGAACTTTCTATTTCAAGCTCTTAGCTTTATGTTAACTTATTCCTCCACATGGAAATACACTACTAGCAGGATATTAGCAAAAGAGACAATAAAAAACAGAAACAATAACTGTCTGAATTTCTTTAATGAAGAGTTATCATTATTTACACTATATTTGAACTATTGTCTTCATCTCTTGTTATTATCACAATGTTTTAAATAATATAAATAACATAATTTATAGCCTACTAGAAATCTGCAAATATTTACAGATATTTTACAGTACTATATAAGCACATTAATAGATTATTGAAGTTTAAACAACGTTAGAGGTAAAGACGTTTAGGTAATGTTTTTGATGTTGAGAAAAATCAGACTGAAAGTTCATAAACTTTTATAAAATTATTAAAATTGATATATTAAAATATGATATTCTTTTATAAAAAGAATATTTTTGTGTCTTCTGTTTAGGTATATTACTCTTATATGCAGTGTATATTTGTCTCAGAAACAATATATTCCAATAATTTAAAATTAAAAAATATTTTAAAAAATGTAAGAAACACAAATTTCAATAAAAGGAATAGCTTGCTGAATTTTAGTTTTTTTAAGAGAAAAGTTAAAAATTCTAAATAATTATACAAATGTATGAAATAGTTTTTTCATTTTTTTTTTTTTTTAGTTGGAACTGATTTAATACAATTATTAAAGTCAGAACAGCTCACCTCAACCAAAACTAATTTCTTTTCATAATGATCTCCTCCAAAGATGTCCAAGCTTCCATATTTGTTTGCACGAAGAATGAAGTCATGGAACAAGTTCTTTTGAGACTGATAGCTAGAGCCTCCTGAAAATTTAAAAAGTTATAATAGGTCACTGCAACTAAAATGAAATAACAATCAGTCGTGGCCTTATAAGTAGTTTTCTAAATGTTTAAAAAAAATAACATCACTAAATATAATATTTGATGGGAGGTTTTGGTTGCTGTATGTTTAATGTAAACTTTAGTCAGTAATTACAATCCTGAGTATTACATACAGTTTGGTGGCGGGTGGTTATTTCTATCACTCATCTTCCTCACCAAACCTGTGTTGTCTAGTGGAACTCTTCTGTTACATTGTGGCCCTAACTGAATCATATTATACATCTTATTCATTCTAACAGGCTGTTGATTTTTGTTTGTGGTTTAGGTGATATTACAATCCTAGTGACTTTCTTAATTTGAGCAACCTTCCTGAAAGGCAGGAAACTCTAGAAGAGAGAACAAACTCTGTTAATAAAACTATCAATAATTTAATAATGAGAAAATATAAAAGTTGCAACTATCCCACTTATGCAGCTCAACTTCAGTAAATTCTTTTCTTCCCTTGAGGCACTGAGAGATATCTAATGGGTGAAATGCAGGTATATTGCAGACTTTACTGCTGCTAGAATTTTGGTGAAAATGGATGGCAATGTTGTCCCTGGTAGCTAAGTGGCATGTTTGTGTGCTTATAAGGATAATGGTCTAAATGGGGACTTTGATAAATTAGGCACCCATACAAAGACCTTTTTAGTTAAACAAAGAACTCTCTATTAGCATTGCATGTGATCCATGCTTCTAAAATACTCAAGATCAGACATTTTACTAATTTTTCTAAACACATTTGATAAGTAGGTTTTTAAAATAACCTTTCTGAAATCCATCTAGGTATTGCAGAATTTTGACAAACACATTAATCACAACTTCCTTGGAATTGTGTGTCTAGGCAGGGAATTTTAGTTATACTAGATTTTACTGAATCTTGGCTTATTTCACATTCAAATCCTCCCAATGCCTTCCTCATAACAATTTTATAGGTTCAAATTAATATTTTTAAACCAAACTTTTTTCATTATGTTCCAACTTGATTGAGCACTCTCCCATATTTATTTCCATCTAATATTTCTACTCCTTCACTCAGGATTACTAAGTCTCAATATCTCAGGTCACCAAACCCCAGTTCATGCACTCAGTAGCAAATTTAATTATTTTTCATATTCACAAAAGAATAAAGTGAAAAATGTTATAAATATCATAAGGTGCTATCACTGAGTAACAGTTTTTGTTTTATTCTCCCAATTACAATTGCCTTTTAAACTTTTTTGTCACAGTATCTGATTGTTTTTAAAGATATGGCTAATTCTGATGCAAAGTATTTAATTGGGAAATTAAAGTAAATATATTTAGTATATAATGTAGATATTTCTAGACTACTCAAAATATTTATTGTAGATATTTCTAGACTAAAAAGGAAAAACAAGATTTGTAAGAAAACATTTTCTAATATACTTTTTAAGTAAAATCTTTGAAAATATCCACTTTTGTTTTATTAAAAAAATTAATGAAATGTGTGCTGATTTTTTCTTTTATTGTTATCAGTTCAAATGAGAGATTAATAAAAACTCATTCAGATAGCCACAATAATTTCTTCAAAAATATATGAACAAATTTTCTTTTGAAAAAATAAAAGTTTTATAAAAATTAGTTTGAAATTCTGAAAATATTTTCTTTTTCATCAAATTTACACCAAGCAAGGCAGTAAAGCAACTAAGACACAATGGGTGTAAAAAAGTTAGAAAGCAGAAAACATTATGAAATAGCAAGAACAATAAAAGAGTAATCAGGAAGACAGCAGATAATAACTGATATCGCATTTAAATTTTTGAAGATCAAAGTTGGCTGGAAAGTATGGAGCTGGAAGAGAGTTCCACAAGTGAGAAATTTAAGAAAAGAAACTTAGCATAGAAGACCTTGTTGTCAATCTAGTACTGTGCTTAAATCCATACTTCCTTAAAACAGTTGGAATATTCTTACTGATACAGTGTACTGTGATACCAATTCTGCTTAGTCAGGGTGCATAAATAGTGAGTTTTATGAGTGAAAGACATGTGACAATTAAAGTAACCAATCTTTTGTTATATCATAAATTGGATTAAAAAAAGTGTTGTTCATTTCATGCTAAGAACAGTTTATTACAATCTTTCAAATATTATAACATCTGGTGACTAAATGAACAAAGAATATATATTTTTATTACTTAAACATTATTATTTAGTGGATACCCATATTTGAGCAGATGCTCCGTTTATTAAACAATATATTTATTTATTTTTGTCTACTGGCCTAAATATTTGAGAAATCTCATTAAAAAAAACCCAAAAAAAACATACAATCTCTTGGAGGATTTGAACCTGCATCCCCTTTGGCAGGAGGAAATTCAGATCTGAATAGATATGAATGTTTCATGAGTTACAGAAGGATTTGTGTATATTAGGTAACTTTGATTGATCAGCAACACACTCCATAACTGAGAGGGTATAAGCATGTCGGATCTAATGACAGTTTCTCCTGCATGTTTTTCTTAAATAAGATTTCTCAAATCTGGCATCACGCTCTCACCCTTTCACTATAGAAACTCTTAAATGTAGCTGTCTCTTCTACTCCAATAGCTTCATACCTCGCACCTCTCGCCTGTGTAACACCCTTCCCTATTACTGTTTCCCTGAGAGCTATAATCTCTAACTATTCAAATGTAATGTCAATCAACATCTCCAGTTACCTTGATCTATCCACTATCCCTCTCCTCATCCTTTCTTCTATCACTCCTATCTGCTCTCGCTCCAAATCTTCTGCAACCCCCTGCATCCTAGTGGCTTCACGCCTTGCTTGGGGCGTAATGCTTAAAAAAAAAAAAAAAAAATTCAGGCCAGTAGATGAAAATAAATATACTATTTAATAAATAAATAGAGCATCTATTCAAATATGGGTTTCCACCAATAACAACATTTAAATAATAAAATCTGTCAGATTAATAAATAAAAAATCCATTACTTCTTTAGAAATATATGTGTGTGTGTGTGTGTGTGTATCAAAACAAAAACTAATGATTTTAAAAATTCAGACTAAAAAATGTTTCTTCATTTTTTGTGTCTCTATATGTTATGGACTGTTACTTTAATTTACTACATTAATAAAAAGTTCACAAACATTTTCTCTACACTTTCTCTCCTTCAGCTGATGTATGACTCCACATAGAGCACATCTGAAATTGGTTACTGCTAATTCTTAAAAATAACTATGTCACCAATGTTTTTTTGTCCTTTTCACCCAAATTTCTTATTCAAGAAAGAGACAATATATTTTCAACATGGATTGTATTTGGAAGAAGGCTATCCAATGAATTAGTTGAGACAAAAGCACCAATTTCAATCTGAACAACTGAAAGAAAATTAATATTATTCAAATGTTATTAATCAATTTAGAAAACAGTATGAATTATGTAATATTCCTAGGTACTTGCATTGATTGAATGTATTTGTTGCTTGCTGATGAAGTTCTAATGGGAAATAATTATATTTTGTTTAAGAACAAAATGAAGACATGTGCCTATCGCATAGAAATGTTTGTTCTTTTTACACTAAAAAAGGATGATTAGGTCAAACAATGAATAATAGAAGTTAAGGCTTTACGGTTTAAAATTATTTTACCTTGGGTTATGACTTGGCTTCAAAATGAACCTTTCAGCATAACAAGATTGATCTTAGTTTGGAAATGGGCTGGAAATATACCCTGTCACCAAGTTTTCAGTGTTTTTACAGTTAATTTGTTTGTATATATGCATAAATTGATATAAAACTTTTACTGTTCCAAGTTTTATTTTTAAATATCTTATACCAACAAAGGCCGCCAAAGATAAAAGATTTTTTGTTCAATTCACAGAGAGAGATTTGCTCATGTCCTTCCTATTTTTCCTGTAAGGTAAATTCTATAAAAAGGGTTAAAGCAAGATGCATAACACAAAAGTTTGTATATTCCTACCTGAATTTTATATTAAACCTTGATCTATGATAGCATTTTATTAAAAAAAATGTAAAAAAATATTTGAAAAATTGTTAAAAATTTATAGGTATTTTAATTCTTAACATTATATTAAAAAATTGCTATTTGTGTGTGAATTGCTACAAGGTAACCAAAAAAGCACTGTCTGTTTTTTGATTAGTCATTGCAATTGTTTTCAAATTCGGACAACTGGAAGTAGGAACATCAGACGTTATAAAAACATGCGCACCATGCCCGGCCATCAGTTATAAGCCGGACAGCTGTGAGGAGGCTGGAAGTGTCTAGAGATCTCTTTCGGGGCTGTTTGCTTTACGACTTCAAAGTGGGCTTATCAGCAGCTGCATCAAGTCGTCGCATATGTCAAGCATTTGGGGATAGTGTTGTGGATGAATGTACTGCAAGGGGTTGGTTTCAAAAATTCAAGTCAGGAGATTTGTCTCTCCATGATGAGCCTCGCAGTGAACAACCACAGGTCTTGAATGACAGTCCTGGATGGCGGCCATTGAAGAGGACAGTAGTCTAACGTGTGGTGAATTTGCAAGACAGTTCAACGTTTCTGATGAAACAGTTAGACTTCACCTGCACTGCCTAGGTAAGACGTACAAACAGAGCAAGTGGGTTCCGCAAACGCTGTTGGAGGTCCACAAGGGACAATGAGTGGCAGCCTGCGTATCGCTGCTTTCTCGCCACCGTACCGTATCCTTATTCAATCGAGTGCTTACCAGTGATGAAAAGTGGGTTCTGTACGAAACTCCCAAGCTTTCTAGACATTGGTTGTTTCCTTAGGATGCTGTCCCTCACACTGCAAGACCGCTTATGCACCCACGCAAGATTATGCTTTGCGTCTGGTGAACAGGTCGTCAAGTGGTTCATTATGAACTGCTACCAATGGCCAAACGGTCACTGGAGACCTATACTCGCAGCAATTGAAACGTGTGAAACAGGCATTATGCCAGAAAGAGCCAGCACTGGTGAATCGCAAAGGT